TTGTATGGATGATTCAGATGAAAAAAATTGTAATGAAGAAAAATGTCATTTAAATAAACGTGTATATTGTTTGCATGAACAAAAATGTGCTCGACGAGAAAATTCCTATCGGTATTATTTATATCTTTATAAATAACATAGAATTTAATTGATTATTTTTTTTTTTTTTTTAGATGTGATGGAATTGTCGATTGTGAAGATAATTCAGATGAAGAAAATTGTCAACAATGTAATGAAAATACAAATGCTTTCCTGTGTGATTCAAAATGTAAGTGAAGATATGTTTAGAATTTTTTTTTTTTTGTTTCAACATCGATTTGTAACTTTACTAGAAACTATGTAAAAAAAAACATGGAAATTAAGTCAAGACATACGACAGAAAGATTAACTCTAGGGTATTGCGGCTTGTCCAAACGTAACGCTGTTACGTTTTTGACACACTCTTCTTCAATTATCTCGGAAAGTTTAAGAGCTAAGAAGTTCGTTCAAACGTCATTCGACGCAGCTTATCAAGCTCTCTTTATCCCATAAGAATGACCTTTTTTGGCTGAAGTCTCAGACATCTAGAAAGGTTTTATCATGCCGTAACGCTGTTACATAAAAAGACCCTTTTTTTCCAGTACCATCGAGAAAACTCTAATTTCTTGCAAAACCATTTCTTCAAACGTAATGCTTCGAGAGTCAATCTTGTAGAGCATTGAATAGGCTTTCAGGCAGTAAAAAGATTTTCTCTAAAGCATTTTCGTTCAGATCAAAAATGCAAAAAACAAACGTAACGCTGTTACGTTTTTTGTAACGCTGTTACACAGTTTTTTGTTGACCGATTTTGAGGCCCTTACTGTTCTCAGAATGAGTTGATTTTTATAAGCGTTACTGTCTTCTATGCGGATACTCTCCTATACAAAAATGAGATTGATACATCGATCTAAGAGCTTATAAACTGAGCAAGAAATTGGAAACTATATAGGAGTCTCCAATTTGTTCTAAGCTACGAAAGTCAAAACTAAATAGACCATTTTGTAGAGAATTTAATTCTGCATCTAATGGTATGTCTCTTGACATTGATTGCAAAACTTTTTTGTTTAAAAAGTCCAAAATACGGTTTTTGAAAAGTTTAAAACCCGATTTTCGATAACAAAACCTAATTTTTATACAAAATAAATATCAGATTCGTAATCAGCGTAAAAATCTGAATCTAGCAACTCACTCAAATCTGTCCAACTCGAAAACAAATTTTTTCAAAACTTGATCAGCGAAGTGTCGCGTTACGCGGACAAGCCGATTGTCTCGTTTCTCATACAGTTTGATTATCTAATATACTGTCAAACGGTAAATCTGAGAATTAGTATAAATCAAATAAATTCTCTTGAGATGCAATCTCGAATACCGTGGAAAGATAGCAGATGATAAAATGAATTGCATATACATGAATATTCATCAATATATTGATTAAATAATAAATCACAAAGAGAATATTATAATTAATGAGAGGAAAAGTAAAGAAAAAAATAGGTCAAGAGATAAATAATTGAATGTATCAATCCGAAGCCATGTAACAATGATCAGCAAATGACAAATTAAGTATGGTATCTAACGAAGAATAGTTATAATCAAATAAAATGAACATAATAAAGAGTAGAAAAAGTATAAAAATATTACCAGCATGTATACACAAAAAAAAGCAAATGGAAACAAAGGTAACGACTAGTGCAGTCAACTTCTTTCTCCAAACAAAATCTTTGTCGTTGTTATAATATAACTTTGCTTACGAAGTTTTTCTCTTTGAAAACAAAACTATGTTCACTGATGGGAAAATCATTTGTATATGGATTATAATAACCTTTGATGTTATATTTAGACATTCTATTCTTATAAGTATTATTTCTAAAAATAAGAATTTTTTTCTCTTTACCATAGGTCAATTATATATGATAGAAGATTTTTTTTGTCTAATAGTAAATTAGTTAAAATTGAAGTTCCTATAGATACAATAAAACTTTATGATATTTTCCAAAAATCACATGATCAGAAAATATTCAAGCCATAAACATGAATAACGTTTGTAATCTGATTCTTAATTACACAGTTTTTTTGCGCATTTGATTTATTAAGCACAACTAAAATAGACCGTTGATATTCACAGGAAGAATGTGGATTTTACATTTGGAGAGTTCCCAAAATATCTTTTTTCTTTTGATCACAAGGAAGAGGATGAGAATCTAAAATGGCCAAAATCAATTTATCAAATGATTTCTGAAAAGCCTCATATATCAGAGATGTTCGAACCGACACTGGCGCGCCGCCACCACAACAATATCAGCGGCGCGAGAGGTATATCAAAAATACTATTACGGAGATTGTAAAATTGCATGAATTGTGATGTAAGTAAATAAGGTATAAAGATCAACAATTTAGTAGAACACATTTGATTTAAATGAAGCAAAAGAGATTTTATCTAAGATAATCAAAACAAAATCTAACTCAATGAAGTTTAGAAATATGTTTACTGATATTGAACTTGTTTTAATTTATCTATAGGTTTTCTACTAAAACATCGTTGTGATAATATTGTTGATTGTTCTGATTTTCGTGATGAATTAAATTGTATTGATTATAACAATACATCAAATAATCAACGAAATTTTTATCATAATGATCGTTTATGTGAAGAAAAACATTTTAATCCATTTAATATTTATCCTCCAAAAATTGATTCATCATTATTAAAATTATATCCATATCCAAATCAACGTATTATATATCTTAATTTAATTTATTATTTACAATTAAGTGTTTTTTATGGTATTACAAGTGGATTAATATTTATTTTTCTTTCTATAATATCATTATTCTTTGTTACTTGTTGTTATCATAAATGTCAACGTATACCATTTTATTTCTATAATTTATGGATATTATTAGCATGGTTATGTATTTCTATTGGTTTATTATCATTTGTTTATATATGGATATTGAAAAAAGAAATATTATTAGATTATGAAAGAAATTTTCCATTAAATATAATGATATATGAAAGAAATCCAACATTACAAAATTTAGAATTTTTTGGTTTAAGTTTTTGGTTAGCTTGTGGTGCAGCATTAACAACATTTATTTGTCTATTATTATCATGTTGTATTTGTTGTACAATTGGTTCATCACGTTCAAATAATAAAGAATATGAAATAATGCATATGCAAAGTTATTAGAAAAAGAAACAGACTACTTTGTTTTTGATTTTTTTTTTATTGTATAAAATGTTACTTTGTTCATAGTGTATGAAAACTCAATTAGACCGTTTTGTTTTTCATTTCTTATCTATATAACTCTAGTCAACATATATATATGTATACGCATGTGTCTTTATTGTATTCTATATACGAAGTTCTCTATTGACGATTAGCAACGAAAATTAAACAACAAAAAACTTTTATTATTATATTGAAATTAAATAAAAAGATCAAAATATAGGATATTAGATAATGGTTTATAGAGAAAATTTATTAAGTAATTATTTCAAAGTGTAAAAGTGAAGATTAAGTTTTGATAAGGAAGTACAAAAGTTTTGAGATACGAATAACATGAAAAGTATAATTCAACGACAATCCCCCCATTATAACGACTATCTTGTTTATCTTTGCGTAAATAGCTATTAACATGAAAAGAATTTTACATCAAGAGTTTCAAATTTTTCTATAAAATGGACATATTATTCGAATTTGTATTATGCAGTAGATTTTCATTCTGTGAAAATGTCTGTGATTGTTTGTTGTTCTAAATTTTTTCTTCATTTACTTTATCTACTTTTTTTTCAGAATATCAAGCCTTACGGTTTATAAACAAATAATAATCTAGTTTTAGATACTCAGCCGAAATAAACCCATAGAATATTATTTTTATCATGGAATTACATATATTCATGAGTCCTTCTCCTAACTCTGTTGTCATATCTTTTATTTAAAGCTTCGTATTTGTGTTCTTTGAATTAGAGATGTGCAGGGTAAGATAGGACTTCTCTTAAACAGGATACAAGGTACGAACGATAGCTTATCTTGGGCATCTCTAGTTCGAATTAGTAAAGACAAATAGAAGGTTTAATGAATTAAATATTGAGTACACTTAATTGTTTCTCTGCCCGTTTCGTAGTTCATAAAACAAAAATGTATAACAAATTGAAAACAAAAGAAACATTTCATGATGTAAGACTTTACAGATTACTAAATACAATAGTTATGTCTATTCAAGCAGCAAAACATATACGTTCATTACATAATGCATTATTTCATGAATGAAAAAATACAAGAAAACAACATTCATGACCTATTAAATAAGATTTTAGTCACGGCGATAAATAATGAATAGTATAATAAAAAAAGAAGAAACGATTGAATACTACTATGATCATTATGGTATGACACATGAACAAGATATGTATAAATATTGTTCACTGCCATTAAATCATTACCCTTTCTCATCAACTTATAACAACAATATCATGCTATCTTTTTTTTTTGTTAGTAATGAGGTTTCTCATTATTAATTGTATATTATATTCAAGCATTTAACGCTTACTACTGTATAAGAATGAATTTTAAGTACAGACAAAGCATCGATATTGATGCATGGGAAAAGTAAATAAATAAAATATTCATGAGAAGACAAAATTTAGAAAATCGATACCAGAATAAATCGAAGCAGACTGAGCTTGAGCAACTCAGTTTAGGCTCGAGACACGCCTACTCATGAGTATAAGCTAGATTTTAATTAGACATTTTAAAAGAACGTTTTCGTTGATTATTCAACAAATGAAAAACTATCTATCTATAGTCTCTCATATGAATAAAAAATTAATACATATATAACAATTGATCTTCGTTGTGTTTATATTTTTAATAAATTAAAGACAATAAAAATATTCATAATTATCAGTCCTATACAGAGCTCTTGTAATATTCAGTTGAAATGGAAAATAAATGCATAGAAATAATAAAACATGACAATTATAATATAACGCATACTCTTGCATTTTCTGTTTGAGATTGATTTATTTTTTTTGTAATTCTTTGTTCACCGGTTTCATTATACAAAGACATCATACGATGACGGGATGAAGAAAAATCTTCATTCATTTTTTTCTCATACACATCATCACGTTCTAGAGCATTTGATTGTTTTTGTAAACGATGTAATAGAATTCTATAGGTTCCATTAATATTATCATGATTAGAAAAATTTTCATTATCAGAATTATTATTCATTGCTTGTAAATATTCCGATGTAATACCTAATTTTTTTAATCTTAAATATGTTTCATATTCAATAGATAACTTTGGTGGTATTAATGCAGATATTTTAGTTTCATTCAAAGATATCCAATAATCGTTAATATTTGTTATAAATGGATCAAATTCTTTAGGAAAATTTTGATGAGAAAGCCATGAACATGAACGAATTTGCTTCATTGACCAACGTTCACTTACTTCATGATTAAGAAGTCCATCTACATAAGAACGACAGTAGCATTTTTATAAATTAAAAAATATACTAGTTATACTCACGTATAAGTTCTTGACATTTATTTGAAACATGTCCGGGTATAGAATAATGTCCATCAATAATAGATCTTTTTAATTTTCCCATATTTTCTGCTCGAAATGGCATTAAAGCTGTGACCATAAAAAAAAGTGTTATACCCATAGCCCAAATATCAACATAAATTCCAATATAATTTTCATCTCGATATAATTCTGGGGCTGCATATGGTGGACTACCACAGAATGTTGTTAATGTTTGATTTTTATCTGAATATGTACTAAAACCAAAATCACCTAATTTTATAAGACGTTCTTTAGCAAAAAAGACATTTTCACTTTTTATATCACGATGAACAATATTTTTACTATGCTAAATAAAAACGAAATGGTATACTCTAGTTTTTAAAAACGTTCAAAATCAAAGTCATGTTTTCTTTTACCATATGATTAACAGCAGCAGTTATCTGAGCAAAAATATGTTTGGCTTCATCTTCAGGAATTTTTCCACCAGTAGTTATACGTGTATAAAGATCGCCAAAAGGTGCATATTCAGTAACAATATGAGTTTGATTTGGTGTTTCAATAACTTCATATAAGCGTATTATATTTGGATGATATAACTGCTGCATTGAAGTTATTTCACGTAAAAGTAAACGTTGAGTATTATTATCTAATTTGGTTTTATCAAGAATTTTAATTGCTACTTTTTCTATAATATAAAAACAAACAAAAGGTTCTTTTATTCTAGTAATACTTCAGAATTTTGCGTGAAGTAAAACAATAAAATGAGTTCGTGCAATATGAATTTTTTGAGCAAATTTCGTCTTGGCATCAGAAAAGAATTTTTATTTAAACGATCCCAATCGATGTAGGTCTAAAGGAATCACTCAGATGAACCTTTAGAAAAATGAATCACAAAACCAGAATTCTATTAGATTTACTAGAACTATGACTGCGACATTAGGAAACATGTTATCGATCTTTAGTGTGACTATGTACTAAAGAAAGATTGTCTTTGGATCATTATGGATCAAAAATTTATGAGTAACGCTGGCTAAGTTCCATTGTTATATTCTTATACTTTTTTGATTACAAAAATAAGGATAGAGTCTTTTAAAGTGTTCATCTTTCCTTTTCATGTACTTCTTGAAGGACGAATCCTCAGAAAAGAAATTGAAAATTTCAAAGAAAATAGATCTCTCATGAATAGAGTAAAAATTGCTAGAGAATCAACATTTCCAGATGCTTCTTTCGGAGAGATATGGAAATACCAAAAGTCAAAACTGATCTTCATTTTAGTTCCTACGTGTTGGAAACGATACTTTCATTTAAGATGAAGTTTCTATTTTTGTTGCAGATACTGGAAACACTCTGAAATGCCTACTTCATTTTAACTCTTTTCTTCCAATATAAAAATCGCATTGTATTTTGAACAGAGAATTTTTTGTTAGATCTGCTTAAAACCAATGATACAATAGTTTTTGAAATAGAAAGAAAACATAGTCATTCCAAGTATTGGTTAGCACTTATAAAAAAGGTTTCAGTTTAATTGGATCTACCGTATGTGAAAAGTTGCATTGAATTAGCAGGCATTTTGCATAAATACTCTGTTGAGAAAACTTGACAGAAATGGAAAAAATCTTGTTGACATATACAAAACATTCGCCGCATTCGATATTATGTTTTTATTTTGAAACTGTCTTTGAAATCTCAAAAGAAGCCTAATGGATATAGGACAAAAATTCAAAGTTTTGAGATTAACAAATCGATTTATCTCAAGAAAGAAATCTAAAAAATAATAATTTTAACCTTTAGCAAGTAGATGCACACCAAGTTTAACTCGTGAAAAATTACCCAAACCAATATCGTTGTGAATACGATAAAATCCAATCAGTCGACCAGCTTTTTCTTCTGCTTTAAAACGTGCATCATGTTGTGAATCATATAAAAGTTTTTCATATGGACTTAAATTTTTTCTTTCATCTTTTCCAAATGATATATTAACATCAGCTCCTGATGGATCACTATGTGATGATGAAAATTCACCATTTCTATTGTTATCATATTGAGAATGTATATTAATTTGTGTCGATGGAGGTATTGAATGCATATGATGGCGAGTTTTAGCCATCGAATATTGATAAAAAATGTTATTCGATCAAGTTTTTGTCAGAACTAATATGACATTGTCTGTTGTGTTCTTTCTTTTATCAGGTTTTCTATTTTGACATCTTGAGAAATAAAGAAAATAATTTTTTTTTTCTAATATTTATTCTAGCACTAACTGGTCTTTATCATAAAAAAAACAGCAATAAATTAATTACTACTTTTGAATGTTGTTTTTTGTTAACTAGAAAAATAATTAGTTTTTTGTTTAAATTTTATTTATTAATAATGAGAACATCTGCTTAGTACTGGAACCATTAAATTAACATTTTTACCTTAGATCAATAACAATTTACAAAGATCAAAAATTGAAAAAAAAATATATTTAACTCTGTACTTCTTATTCTTTGAATGAAAAAAGGAAATAAAACAATCGTCTATGTACGAGACACATAATGTGTTAAAAAACGTTTTTTTTTTTTCATGAATAAGTGTACTTGAAAAGAATGAGTGGTGTGCGAGACGTCAGACGTGTACTTAAAGATCATCGAATGGTACATGATTTTGTTCCGGTTATTTTTTTTCATAAGAAAAATTATTTATGATAAATAACAGGTTCTAATCAATATAAATGGACAAAAATCAATATTGACGTGACAAGAAATATCTTCCACCATAGGAAGTCTCTCTTTTCATTTTTTTTCTTTCGTTCGCTGAGTTAATCCTTTCATAGCCATTTATAAAGTTTTTTTTTCCATTTGTTACTAAGCATCCATTTCAACATAATGCATTTATGCATTATATAATCCTTTTTTGAAAATAAATAAAATTATTATTAACTAATAAACTATCTTTTTAATTTTATATATTTATATTCTCATGAATAATATAAATTAAAATGAAAAATGCTAAATTTAGAGAATCAACTACGAATAGATGAGTCACTCAGTGATTGACCAGTTGTTTCTATTTTCTATTTGTAATCAACATATTTATATTTGGAAGATAATTTTCATATATTTTTTCTTTTCTTTTTAAGATTAATTAATCTTTTCTTAATATTCATTTATTTTAAATATTAGCACACACACATAATGAAACGTAATCGATTTGTCTCATCATCACGTCGTAAAGCTCGTAAACGTTATTTCACTGCACCATCACATATTCGTCGTCGTTTAATGAGTGCACCATTAAATAAAGAATTACGAAGACGTTATAATGTTCGAAGTATACCAATTCGTAAAGATGACGAAGTAGCAGTACGTACAGTTGATATTTTATTTTATTTTAATTTTATATAATATGAAAATTTCTTTCGTTTTTAAACTAGATTACACGTGGTCATTTTAAAGGTCAACCATCGGGTAAAGTTACACAAGTTTATCGTAAAAAATTTGTTGTTCATATCGAACGAATTACTCGTGAAAAAGCTAATGGTAATACTGTTCATATTGGTATTCATCCATCAAAGGTAAAATTTCAAGTTAAAACAAAAAACCAAACAAAATTTAGTTTTTACTTTTATTTAGGTTCAAATAACTAAATTAAAATTAGATCGTGATCGACGACGTATCTTAGAACGTCGTTCGAAATCAAAATTGGCTGCTAAAGGCAAACATACTGAAGAAAGCATTCAACAAACATCAACTACTACACCTATGGAAACAACATCATAAAATAACAAAATTTGTTTGATTGTTTGTTTTTCTTTTGTTTTGTATTTGTGTGTGTGATCGGAAAAAAAAATACAAACAGTACGATAAGAAGAAGAGATAATCAATAAAAAGTAACAACTTTACAATTGAGGAATATTATATATTTGATTAAATTTTATTTCACGAAATGATTTTATATTTAA